TTTAATGCATCGTATATCCAGCAATATACACACACGCTGTGGGCAAGGCGCGTTGTGCCCCGCGCACCCCTCCGCATGTCGCTGCTCCGTGCACGTAAAGTTTCACTGGGAAAGAGCTGAGCGGGGAGAAGCCGGAGCCCGGGCGGCTTTTTTCCCTCCACCCTGACCCATCTAGCGCACTCTCCTCCCACTCCACCCGCTGGATTATTTACTTTGCTATAGAAGCTACTCCTTTTTCCCGTATTAATATTAACAAACTCTCTGTAAAAGCAAGAGGCTGATCAGATACAACTCATTTCAATTTCAAATGAGCCGGTAAAACCTAGAGAGCGAGAGAGCGGAGAAGGGAGAGAGAGGGAGAAATCTTCCCATTTGAGGAACCGCCTCACTCGCATTTTCTTCTCAGTATTAAACGAAAGAGACTGTAAAACGTTTAGCAAGATGGGTGAAAAAACCCAACAGCCGCAAAAACAAACAAACAAACGCATACGAACCGAAAAAGCCTCCCAGGTGCCACTCCAGTATTTAGGCAGCGCTGCAGAGCGGGCACTGGCGCTGCTTTTCATCGCGGCGCGGGGCGATCCCCTCCCGCCCCGCAGCACTCGGTACAGTAGATTTTGAGAAAAAGACAAACGAAGCTATCAGCGGGGATGATGTTGAAGAATGAAGATAATAATGTTGCTATAGGTGGTACTTCACATGACATTATTTTTCACTGAATATTTAAAGAGATGTTTCGGCAGAGATGGATACACTCAGCGCTGGCTGTCACCCGCCCTATCCTGACACAGTGGGAAAGAAACCGAACCTCAACATATAGAAACGCACAAGTTACTAATATCTATACACACGTATATGCAGACAAAATACCCACGCGGATCTATTTACACATCTGTGTCTGTATTTCTAACTGTATCAATCACTCCATTAGCTTCCCACGGTTTCTAATCTAGTTGCTCTCTCAAAATTATTCGCGTTTACAATTTCATTATACATTTGTCGATTAAGCTTAAGACAAATTTTTCCAGATGCGCAGTACCTTTGCTTTGTGGCAGGAAAAAGGCGGCCGTGGACCTGTAATTAAAAAAGCAACAACAGCAGCAACAAGGAGAAAAACAGCGGTTTAGAGAGAAAGAAATTAATCTGGAGAAATTAAGTTTTGTAACTTTTTTTTTCGTTTCTCTGCTCCCTCGCTAGTGTAAGAAGCGACGCTTAGTATTTAATCTAGGACCGCTTGATTATTTATTGTTTGTTTTCGTCTTCTTCACTGGGGGCCGAGAGGGGTGGGGAAAGGGTGGGGGCAGAGCAGCATTTCCAGGGCTAGAGAAAAATCGGTCTTTATTGTTGTTGATAGCAATACATCAATTAAATGTCATTGTCTCTACCAGAAGTTGTGAGAGTTCCCAAACGTAAATACTCTGCTCTTGGGTCTTCCCTCTCGAAGCTCCCAATGACAGTGACAGATATTTTTCCCTCCCCGCCACACCTAGGAGATTTTTTTTCTTGGATTATTCTTTTTAATAGAGGTGGGAGGCTTTCTAATGCGCTTCAATGCAAATCAGCCTGGCTGGAAGACACCCGTGGTGGGGATCGATCTCCAGTTCATTGAGATGAGCACTGAAGGGAGATTGTAAACAGGGGATAATTTGCAGTTCATTCGACTCACAGACGATTTCAATGAGATGCAACACACTAGACTGGATTATTGTTATTAAGGTTTGCGATCAGACACAACAACCTTAACACTCAGGGGTTAAAAGCTACACAATCCCCACATAGTTAAAATGCATCGTTAATAACGATCTGGGGGAAAACCCAATTGATTTCATTGTAAACAGGGGATAATTTGCAGTTCATTCGACTCACAGACGATTTCAATGAGATGCAACACACTAGACTGGATTATTGTTATTAAGGTTTGCGATCAGACACAACAACCTTAACACTCAGGGGTTAAAAGCTACACAATCCCCACATAGTTAAAATGCATCGTTAATAACGATCTGGGGGAAAACCCAATTGATTTCATATTTTCTGCAAATTTTCACCTCCGAAGCAGCTTGCCAGGCGGAGTTTCGCTGGCCCCA